GGCAGGTACTTGAAATCTCAGCACTCAGGAAGCTCAGGCAAGAGAATAATGAACTCAAGTCTGAGCTACATGAAAATATCTGTCTCAAAACAAAGAAAAACTTAAAAAGAAATTATTTAGCTAAGAATGTGGCCCCATTGATACCAGCTTATCAGAGGCCTTTCAAGCTCCTTCAGTTTAGGGTTGGCCAGAATTCCAGCCATAATAGAACTGGGATCGATATAGGGTGTGGGGCTCTGCTGACTTCCCCATGGCCTGAATAAAGAACTCCACCTAAGCCATTTTCTTTAGTTCTGTGTTGAGGCCAACCTACAGGTTCTGCTTGTCTCCTTGGCTTATGGATGGGTACCAGAGACAGAAAGGGGAAGCACAGAGCACCATCATACCATGAGACTGCTCTCTTGGAATTTCTGACCTGTCACCAGCCACCAGCCTAATTAGTAGTTTTACTAAGCAAACACTGATGTGTCAGCGACCTGAACAAGACTGTTATTTTGTTCCAGGTTGAATGTATGGGTTCATCCAGGAAACTACTACCTGTGTGGCCTTCTGGTAGCTGAGGCAGCCTCCCCTTAGGTCCAGTGCCTGAGAATGCTGGGCTGAACTTCCAGTATGGATGGTGTTTTAAAGTGGACCCCTAGAGCTCCCAAAGGAGAAGCTTGGTCCTAATAGGAGACTCTAAGGGGTGGTTTGAATTTCCAGGAGCACCTATGTGCCAAATAGGGCAAATTCTATCTCTTCCCAGCACACATATTATGGATAGAAGGCCTCAACCAAGGCTTATGAGTGCTCATAGAAGAAATCCTCAGTGCCCATGGGCACAAGGAGGACCAATAAACTCTAAAGACTGTGAGTAGTGATCTGCTGTCCAACAATAACAATATAGGAGGCTTCGTCTCACATCTCTGGGCTGCTCATCTAAAAAAATCCATTAAATGTTTCTGAATTCTGTAGTAGACTTAATGAGAATACCACCTACAGTGACGACTCAGATATTAGTGGTGGTAGTGATGATGGCTATGGTGCTGGATGTGATGATGTTGTGGTTATGATAGTGGTGGTTATGATGGTGGTGGTGATGTTATGGCTATTGTGTTGGTTATGATGATGGTGGTGCTGGTTATGATGATTGTGGTGGTGGTGGTGATATTGACTATGTTATTGGTTCTGATCGTGGTGATTAAGTTAATGCTGGTGATGGTAGTTCATACATAAAGATATTAAACCGGTGATAATAGGAAATGAGTTTTTCAACCCCCTTTCTCAACTTGGCAAGAATTATTTTTATATTAAATGGTATTGGGGAAGATAAGTAACTTGAGCTCAGGCCTTTGATGATGAAACCACCATTCTAGATGAAGGCTGAAGATGGAGTCACGGCCCAGTTGTCTTCCAGAAACCAAAAAGATTATATCTCTCAGGAGAGCCATTTTCTCAGGAGAGTCATCTTCTCAACAACTTTGCAGCCCTGGCCAGGCCTGATATCAACAGCAGGCTGAGCCTATAGTTGTTAGGTGTCCAGGTGGAGGCATGCGCCCATTTGGCCTGATGACTCACCCGCCCATTGAAGTTGTGACAATCAGGATTTTTCTCTGAGAACTGACAATTTTGAAATGAAGAAACACAGCAAGAATGATTGACTTGTGTAACTTTAAGTTTGTAGAACTTTGAAGAAAGTCCAAGAGCCTTGCTTGGGGGAAGGCTTTGAGTCCTTCTTTGGGTGTCTAAAATATGGTGATTAATGCTTGCCACAATTGCAAGGCAGAGCAAGCATGGTTGTTGCTGGTTAGCATCTGTCCTCCAAGTTCTGATAGCCAGCCACCACCCTCAGGCAGAAATACCTGTGAGATCAGTCCAGTCAACTGACCATATTTTCCTGTGGTTCGGGTAACCCAGATCAAACCATTCTCTTGGCATCAGAGACTGGTTTAATGTTAGGCAAATGACCTAATTCAGGCCCAGATGACATAAGAAAATTTCTATTTCATTGTTGTTGGTTTTTGTATAATTGTTTGTTTTAGAGAAATTTGAGGGGGCACATTCTTATTATTGTAAAGAAATTATTAGTGACATGTTCTGTCAGCTGCACTGTTTTATAGAGGGTTAGATCGACTGCAACATTTTTTTTTCACTGTGAAACAGGAGGCCTGGAGTTGAGACATAAAAGAAGATGTCTCGTTTGCTTTCCTTGTGACTATAACAATCTAATTTGCCTTTGGTCAGATTTCCCTGAATCAAACACTGAGACAGGGTTCATGTGTAACTGATTCCACAGTGGGGATCATAGAAGAAACTGCAGTGTGGAAAGCAGGTATATGAATAGGAGGAGGCTCTGCATCAATGTGGTGTAGGGTAGAGTTAGTCTGTCGGGTGTGGGAAGAGGAGGAGGTCACACAGCACACAGTGATGGGGTGTAGGGTAGAGTC